AAAAATTAAAATTCGAGCTGCTTGGTTTGAGGTGACATCTTTTGCATTGTCCACATCGGGAATTGGCCGCGTTTTTGCAAAATAAAAAGAAGCTTGGTCTTCGTTTGCTACAGCCTCGTCGCATGTGAGCATTCGGCAATCAAGCAGGAATATATACATGTACGTGTATTGACAAAATCTCTGTCTGAAGTTAATCTTTGCGTTGGAAGTTATGGATACATTTACTGTGTAATTAATTCCATGTATGCAGTGCGGTGCAAGACAGCACATTTAAACCATGTACGAGCGGCGACTGCACCAGTTGTATAAGACTCTCACTAAGACGTTCGGCTGGTTACCAACAACATTGAGTAAGTTGCAGCGCGAGCGTAGCCGCTACTGTTTAGTCAACGGTTGGTAAGAACCGCTTGGCGCTATATCGAATTAAAAGAAATCCCATCGAACATCGTCGACAGCAACACTTCGAGAACATAACTAAGCGAGTTCGTGCCTCCTTTCGACTCTAACTAGTGTTTGAAAACCGTCCTCGAGCCACCGCTGCTCGCAGTTTAAAAAAAAAGCACACCGTTGCGAATCCGTTAAAGCGGCCAATCGATGCGTGCTCGGAAGCGTAAACTGTTTGCCACAAGTCGAGCATGGCACCTGCGGTGAGAGAAAGCGCCTGTAGCGGACGCTTCAATTCGCTGTGAGTTCCGAACGGCCCTCGTCGTCCCGTCTCTGGCGCGATTAGTACAGCACCGTCTAGCGAAATGGCAGACGAGACAAATATTGGGCCACATTTGAGAAGGCGAGGCTTAGTTGATTCGTACTGCTGGGCTACTACTACACACGAGACCGACTCGGAAAGGTGTCTGTGAAATGCATCGCAAAATGGCCCTACTCGTGAATGCCATACATGAATCAAGTTGCATGTTGCGCGACTAAAGAAGCGTGGGGATGCGTTTCACCAAACGGCTGCCGCTGTCTTCTTCGCACAAACGGCATTTGCTGCCCGGCTTTGGCGACTTCACATATCTTGCGACGGTGCCTGTGCGCGCGATCTGATCATGAGTGCGCGGCGATAGAAGAGCCCGGTTAGCGTTGAAGAGCTGTACAGCTGGGGCAATCCAATCACGCCGCCGTCTAAACACCGTCGGGTCTCCACTCGGCTCGTTGGAGACCTGGAGTTCAGGTTGGACCGCTCATCCTCGCTACATATGAACGTCGCCACTTGCCCTATGCCAACAATACGGATAACGGAGCTGATTCTCAGTGTGGATCGCTTTCCCGGAAAGCACTTCAACGTGGAGTCGAACGTGGCTGCCACGGTGGCGGCCTCCGAGGTTCGCACGAGTCGTGGGCGACTCTGCATTGACGAAGCGCACAAATGTCCTCATCGTCGAGGACCTCGAGACCGTCCGAGCTGTTACCGTCACCAAATACTGTACCGCATGGAAGCTGTTGTCGTTGCACTGGTTCCCTGGCCTCCGAAGCCATGCAATCGTTTCGCCGCCTTGGTGGTCGGTACCCTCGCTTTAAGTGCCTGCAGCGAAGCGCTAGCGGAGCTCGTGACACGTCCCGTATCCCAAGGTACCTCCAGAGCCTGCTTCCCGCGCCGCTCGAGGCAGATACTCTCGCCAAGCGCCGTTTGACGCGGTATCTTCCGCTGTTGGTGGCCGCAATGGCAGCCCGAAGCTGGAGAGCACTGAGCCAATCGGCTTACTATTAACTTTGATGGAGGAAAATGCTGGTGGGAGGCACTGCATTTGCCAGTCGCAGCGACTGGGGGATCAAGGCTTGCTTCAAGCAATGCTTCCAAGCTGGCGACTTACTCGCAGGCTTCAAGCGTTGAAGCGCTCCGTTAGCTCACCACGGCAATCGCTCTGGCTGTGACCGTGCAGCCGGCGCCGAAGACGGGCGCCTGATACGTGCCGCGTAGAGACGGGAGGCGCTGTAATTTACGCCGCGCCGCCGCCAACGCCTTCTCCTTACATGCACTGTAGGCGGCAAGAAGGCTTTCTTCGTGGTGTTATGCTGAGGCTTTTGCTGACCGCCGCGGTGGGGATAGATATACCCGGTCTTCGTGCGAGAAGGCCGCCATCACGGTTGTTAGGTCCAATATCAACAGTCGCGGTATTGCGGTCACTTCAGTTCACATACTGTACGAGAGTACAGTAGGCCGGAAAACACCGCACGAATAAATGGCGCACGTCGAGCAATGCGCCGCGCAGGATGATCGCTATGCTACAAGCCACCGGCTGAATCGTTTCTCTCTCAGCGTGCGCCGCTACGGACAAGTATCTTGATCAATGGACAGCGAGCGCTGCTGCCGACGTACATCGGGTGACGGCGCTGTGTGTCACTTGCCCGTGCCAGCTGCCTTGTCCGTCACGGGGCATCCATCTGGAGCGTTATCATTTTCTCAAGTGAAGGCTGCAATTGAGGTTGTTGCTTACAGCATTATACGCTATCTGCAACACTGAATCGACACGAACGGAGTGCTTTGGGCCGGCCTCGATGGAGTGAAGAAACCTCTGAAGATCGACGCGCGGATGTCTTCTTCGTCGACACTGCGCGGCTAGCGTTGTAAATACTTCGTTCGAGGGGGATGTGCAGGACCTTTCTCTGGTCGCGCTTCGAGAGATGCAGTTTTTGAGCGTGATGCATAGCCACGGTAATGGATGAACAGCGTTCGGGCTTGACCGCTTTTCGCCAGGTCCACAATCCGATTCGCCTCGAGCCGTGCAAGCTACGCTCGCCACGAAGGCGCCGCCGAGCGAGAGAAGGAAGGAGTGTCCCAGTCACCAAGTGATCGACAGATTTTAAGCGCTATATCCAAGGTGTTCATGCAGCCCAACAGCACTAGCGAGCTCCAAGACGTCGCCGTCGCAGACCCGTCGTCGTCCGCGCCCTCGTCTGCCAGCGCAGGGCTCTCGTCTTGGCCCGAACTCAAACAGCTCAACGCCGCCGTGACCGTCACACCACTGGACAGCGACGCCCAGCAGCGCAACCGCAAGCGTCAGCGACCGTCGGCTCCGTCGTCTCCATCCGCGGGCAACACGCTCGCGTCCTTCCCCACTCCGGGGGACCTCAAGCTCGACTTCGCCGGCTTCGAGGTCGGCAGCAACGCCCCGTCCGCTGTCCTGCCCTCGGCCCCGCTGTCGATGACCACCACCTCGTCGGCCATGACCTATCCAGCCGTGTCGACCGGCTACTCGAACAGCTACGCGTCCGCCGTCTCCACTGAAGACGTGCTCACCTTCCTCAAGAGCCTCCAACTCGCGCAGGACTCGGCGGCTCTGTCACTGGCCACGCAGCGTCTCGCTCAGGACGGATTCGACTCGGTGCTCGCCTTGGCGTTCGCGGCTGTGAGCGAACTGCAGCACGCCGGTATCGCTGATGCCCAGCTCGTGTGGCAGCAGACTCACCGGGACTTCCTAGCCCGGCGATTCCAGGGCCCCGGCGTGTTGTCGCCCTCCTACACGGTATCGCGGTGGATGGAGCTCTGCGGCATCCCCAAGGCCAGCACCTTCGAGTACGCTGAGTATCTGTGCCGTCTGGGTTACTCGGCTGTGCGGGACCTCGAGTTGATCCTGCACGACCAGCGTGCTCTTTCCGTCTTCAAGATCGGCCACAGTCGCCTCATGGTGCACTGCGTTCAGGCGGCCATCAGTCAGCAGCAGCAACAACAGTTGCAAGTTGCCAGCTACCAGTACGGCAGCCACGGCCCCAACGTGTACACTGCTGGATCGTCGAGTGCGCTGCTCCAGCCGCTGGATATCCAACGCGAGAACGAGTTCGACGTGCAGGCCTACGACAGCTTCTTGGAGGCACTGATCGAGCCGACGGAGGCCGAGAGGATCCAGCAGCAGCAACAGCAACAGCGCTACTCGGCGCCGGGTGCGTTGACTCTTGGCCGTGAGAACGTTAATCTCATGGGTAACGCCGATGTGTTCGGCAACCGTATGAGTTTCGGTGGGGTGTCGTCGCCCGTCCCGCCCAACATGCCGCTGCGTCTGCTCCCGCAGGAGCACCTGCAGTTGCTGTACGAGGCAGTGAACCTGCCGCGTCCCAACCCGTGCCGTCGCGGCAAGAAGATTTACTGGTCGGTGCTCGCCACAGGCGGCATGAAGGAGGACCGATTCGCGCCTCTGACTCAATTCACGGCTGCCGAGTTGCAGAACGCGTACCTGCGTCAATTCGAGCTGCCGGCTAGCAATCCCGTGAAAATTGATGCTTGGAGTGACGAGAACATCCGACAGCTTGAACACGCCGTCAAGGACCCTCGTTGCCGCCACTTGTCCAAAGTATGCTGGGAGATGCTGGCCACGGGTCGCACGGGTGTCGACGAGTATGCGCCACTGGCCAAATTCACTGCATCGCAGCTGCGATCGCGGTTCCGCTCGCTATTTGGCGATAAGCGGCCACAGAAATTGCGCCAGAAGAAGCAAATGCTGAAACTACAGCAGCAGCAGCAGCAACAACAGCAACAGCAGGAGCAACAGCAGGCTAATAGCGCTGTAGTTAAGAACGAGCGCTTGGTCTAGAAAGTAGTGGAGAAGAAGGGAGAAAATTGTTTTAAGTCAATAAAGTGTGAATTTTCATGTCATAGCTTTCCGTTCTTACCGCTGGCATGGTGGCTCGCCTGAGGCGGGCTTCTACTGATGTCCTTCTCTTGTCAAAGGGCTTGATGCATGCAGCTCTACTCAAACCGCGCTGAGTCAGCGTCACCATTCTCATTCTCGACCAAGATAGCCAAAGATCTGCAGGCTAAAAAAATAAAAGTGTTGCGGGATTCTGATAGATTATAAATGCTGTTGGTATGATGGTTCTAGGCTATTGAGACATAAAATACTGGGCGGCGGCATCTAGTGTGCCTCCTGGTTGTTGCCGCGGTCGAGGTGCGGAGGCAAATAGTGCGGTGTGACTGCTGTGGCTTCGCAGACATTGTTGTTCTTGGTTTGGCTGGCCTCTGGGCATTCCACCTTGACGAGCGCCACCTTGTCCTTTACACAGTCGGTCGGTTCCGTGTCACTTTCGGGTTTAGCTGCATTGGTGACTGCGGACGTCATGGTGAGCGACAGCGAGCGGCGCAGCGTGTACGCGTTACGCCGCAGGAACGAGATGGGCTGCTTGGCTGCTGCGAACGAGATCGAGGGTCCGCTTGGGGGTTTCTGCACAAAGTGCTTGGCGATGATCTGCTCGAGCTGCAGGCGAGTCTCGCTGGCATTCGATTCGTTCTCGGGGGAGGTGGCCACTGGGTCGCGCCAATAGTAGCGCTGCCAGGAGAAGAGCGCCTTGCCCCAATCCTGACGGTCCTCGCCACTGCAGGCGCTAAATTCGATGCGCTCGACGTTGCCCAGAGTGTAGGACCGGTCCTTGACGAACACTTTGCGAGTTTCAAGGTAGAAGCTATTGGGCACGCCGTCAGCACGCTTCTGTGCCTTGACAGTGATCTTGCAGCCTGAAAGCCGTACTTCATTCAGGCATTTGGTGCACTCGGCCGACGCGTACTGGCGCAGGAATCCGTCTTCTAGCGACAGGTAGCGTACGGTAGGGCGGGCGCGCTTGTCATGCACAATGAGGTAGCCTTGGCGAGTCATCTGTGGTGGTGTATTTCAGTGGATTACCGATGAACAGGAGGCGAATTGTCTACTGGGTGCGTTGGAGCTAGCTGCTCGAGTTGGTTTGGTGGAGAAGGCGAACGCAACGCAGCGAAATTATTAGCGGCGGTTGCGCTGGACTTGTCCGGCTCAAAGATAGATACACAGGTGTGCTAAGCAGAGATATTCGCGAAACGGCCGAGCTGAGCAGCTTGAGCAATGCGACGTGGATAATGGGGAAGTGAGCGAGTCTTCGTTTCACCAGCCGCTCGGTCCCACCTCGCTCGCTTCTCCATGATATGCTGCGCGCCGGCGATAGGAGTGGCAGGAGCCCAACAGAGCGAGCTAAAGAGAAGCATGGGCGTGGACGAGAGCGGCAGATGGCTGTGGCCACCCGACGACAGCGACAACGAGACGAAGGAGAGCCAAGTGAGGAAGACAGCTGCAATGCCTGCTGGCAGAAGGTTTCCAGCATCGATCGTCGCTTGATTATTAGATTAGGATATTGACAATGAGAGCACGTCGGCACGTCACTGCCAGCCGAGATGCCGGCGCACAGGCTCGCAGTGCAGAACCGAGCAAAACTAGACAGCGAGTGATTAGCTCTCGACCAGCCAGCACTGCAGCACCACAAAGTAGATGAAGCCGCAGACCAGCAGCGTCATGATGGCCGCCAGGAACTTGGATAGGAAACACTCGCGACCTGGGTGCTCACCCGCGTCCTGCTCGTCCTGATCATCATCGTCAGCGCCATCTAACAGTCCGCGCAGCCGCAGGTCGGACTTGCGACGAGTTTTCAGGAGGAGCTGCCCACTTGTCAGCGGCTTGAATTCAACACCAGGCCATGGTGGATTCTCGTTGTTCCCGACAATTTGGATCGCACACTCGGACGACGAGATCTCACCCATTGTCAGCTTTTTGCCCAACTACTTACAGCGATGAATACACCCGCGTCGTCGCAGTTGCAGCTACCTACTACGAAATGTGCTGCATCCGCCTTGGTGACAATTCTGAAACAGCCGCGGTAGTTGCAGGCTAAAAGTGGGCATTGCAACGAGTCTGCAATTGTTGTGACATCTCCAGAACAACGGCACGGTGATTCTTTGCTGGAAACTATCAATGGGTTAAATGCTTGACAACGCAGCACGAACGCACAGCGCTTAAATGGCTACTAGTGCACCACAACACGCACACGTTTGAGGGGCTTCACTTGAGCAAATGGCTACTACACGTACAGGTATCGCCTGGAAATAACGCTCCTTGGCAAAAACTGAGTCTGCTCATTGCTCACCACGCTCGACAAGAAGATAAGGCGCCATTGGACGATTTGCAACACGCCTGTACCTCATTGAAGCTGTAAATGTAGCAACGCAGAACTGCCCTCAGTATCGCTCGATGTTCGTGTCTTCTTTTGTTGGGAGCATGTCAAAGTAAAGATCCAGAACGACTGCAGCAATCTGTCTTCGTCCACCAGGTTGGATGGATATTGAGCAATGCACTGAAATCACTTCAAGTGCTGAATGTACCCACTTCAACGCACCATCACTCAGAGCCAGCGCAACTCTGGCGCGCTCTCATTGGTCAACTCAGCATAATCGATTTAGACAAAAGGGGGTGAAATCCTACCAGTAGCGATATATCTGATAGCTTCGTCGCCCCTCGGTCGTCGGTCACGACTTATGAATGCAAAGCTAGGAAAGCAATACTCAACTGGCTGCCTAGTACAGACTGATGCACGCTAGACAATTGACTTTGCGTTGGCTTTACCTCAGCTCCATTTGCATTTTTAGTGATGTTGACGTGATCATGGGATTTATCGTGACATCCATCCCCGAAACCTTTATAAAGCAATTCAATATCACAGGTTTTCTCTTGGGTGGAGAGTGAAGGACTTTGAAGAGGGAGGGGGCGAATGTTTGTTGCATTCTTGAATTTGTAATTGCGACTCGAATCGCGCACCAGCGGCCTCCTTGTGCGTATATTAGCGACTGCAAGGGCTCTCATCGCCTTAGTACCGAAGAGAGGAATCGTATAAGCCTAATCTGTCGCCCCAAGCGTCAAAACAGCGTCAAGAGATCCCAGCAAAAACACCCAACTACGAGACTATGAGCAGTACCATCACCGCATCAACTGCGGTCTCTGCTGCCTCCACGACCACCACATCGTCGTCCTCCACTAGCAACAGCGCGTTGCCGCCCACTAAGCGTCAGAAACTCAACGAAGAAGGCGCGTCCGCTGCTGTGACCGACAGTGACTCGAAGGACGGCGTGCTGGATGAGTCGGCTACGGAGAACACGGGTGAGAACGCCCAGAAGAGCTATCCGAATGTGGCTCTGAGTCTACAGAAAGATCCGTCGTGGATGCTGGGAGATGTCGACAGTTTCGGTGGTCTGGGCCCCATTCCGTCCATGAACGCGGTGCTGGAGAAGCGCACGTCAAGTCAGTTCTCCATCAGCTCGCTGCTGCCCTCGTCCGTGAGTATCTCGACTACTGGTGTGCCCAGTACAAGTGATACACGTATGGATACCACGACAGCAGATAGTGCTGAAGCAACTACCGACAATGAAGGCCAAGGCTCTGCTCCAACTGTCTCTACAACTACTGCAGAGGGATCTGGTGGCAATACTAAGTACATGGACCCCACAACGGGCGACTACATGTACCCGGACAACGTCAAGCCCATGAGTTTCTACGATAAGCAGCGTCTCGTCCAGAAGATCACGATGCTTCCTAGTCAATATCTGCGTGGCCTCATGGACGTGATCAGCAAGTATCAGCCGGATACGGTTCGTCAGATCGATGACGATGGCTACGCGTTCGATTTGGGCCAGATGAACGAAAATACGGTGTGGGCTATCAGCGATTACGTTAAAGACTCGATGATTGAGCTGGATGGATACATTAAATCGCTCAACCAAACTGGTATCAGTCTAGCTACCGATGAAGATCGACAAGGTGGCACTATACTGACGGCCACAAGTGCAGCGACTGGCACGTCCAATAGTAATACCGTTCGGCACTTGACCAACACTCTGGCGATGAACACGTCCAAGATGACAGCCATCACTAACAATGAGAACCAGAACAAGTTCCTGGAACAGGTGGAGATGTATTCCAAACCGAAGGTAACCAAGTCGCGTGTAAAGCCCAGTAAGAAGCACGAGTGTCCGACGTGCAACAAGCAGTTCCGTGGACGTTCTGAGCTCCAGAACCACATCCGAACACACACGGGTGAGAAGCCGCTCAAGTGTTCATATGCTGGCTGCACGAAGAGATACGCACACAGCTCGAATCTGCGCGCTCATGAACGTACACACGCCGGTATCAAGCCTTACACATGCCACTACGACGGTTGCGGGAAGAGTTTTGCGCACTCAGTGTCACTAAAGGAACACATCTGGATGCACGCAGGATTCCAGCCCTATGTGTGTCCGTACGAGGGATGCCAGAAGAAGTTTACACAAGTCTCAAATTTTGCTCGACACAAGAAGACGCACGAGAAGGAGGAGAACGAACATTCAGTCGAGAGCGATAATTAGTCCCCAGTAACACACCGACACACTACCCCGTAGGTATATGACAAGCAACAACCCTTGATAATAAGCACAACAAACTTTTAGCATATTTCCTCTTCCCCTTCTTTAAATTCTTGTTCACTCGGTATTCGCGTGGCCTCGAGGCTTCGACACCACGAGCGTGCGCTCACGTCCGCCCGTCTCGAACTTGGCGATCAGCAGCGAGCGCCTGCTCGTCTCCAGGCGCACGGTGGGTAGTGGCTGATCCTCGTCCGGTTCGGCCGCGTCGTCGTCGTCCCCCTCAGCGAATTGTCCCAGATCGATGGCCTTTTCAGCGATACACGTGAAGAATCCGTTCTTTTGGTCACGCGCCGTGTACGCGAGGTCTCCCTCCGCCTTGAGCAGCAGCCCGTGCCCGTCGTTCAGCACCAACCCCAATGTCTCCACGCTCATCTTGACGATACTTCTTTTCCTGCAACAGAGGCATTAAATTCCCGCTTGATAGTGACATGTACCGGCTTTCACATCATAAAGATTCAATTTAATTTTTCAGCCAATCATAGAACACCTTTTTCCGCCAATCCCGACCGAGGTTGAAGGTGTTCTTCTCCGAAGAAGGCTTCGGCTCAATACTCAAGATGAAGACTTCCACCCGCCCGACGCGTCGCTCCAGCGCGCGTACCTCTCGCCGCCGCGGCTCCAGCGACATGTCGGCTGCTTTATCGTCTCCGTCAGACTCTGCTGCGTCCAGCGCGCTCTCATCCGCCCCCGAGGGATCTCTGGAAGTGATTTTCTGCGCCGTCCAGCGTGTGCGCCACCGCTCGTTCCTGTTGCTGTGTACGCGCTCCGACTGGCGCATCTATCGCCTCGACGGCTCCAGTGCGTCACGTGAGAGCTGTTCGCCTGTGCAGGTGCGTCTAGCCCCTTGGAATTGGTGTCAATGTCCGTCGCAATCTAACGACGCAATGTGCATTGTGGTTCTGCTTGTTTCTAGCTGCTCATCGACCCCCAAAAGGACGCAGCGCGGCTCTCCAGCGTCCGCTTCTTCCACTTGTACGAACAGCCTACGGCAGACTCAGCATTGGCTCTAGGAGCTCTGTTTGTGTCGGAAAGGAGCTCTTCACTGCTCTCGAGTGACGACGAGGACGAGGATTTTGTGTCTGCAACAGCTGAGGATGAAGACGACGGACGTGAAGAAATCTCAGTGCTGGCTCTAGACGAGCAGAAACTGCTGCACAGATTGCCGCCCTCACCCTCTCTGGTGCTGGACGTGCAGACTAACTCCACAACAGCGGCTGTACTCTGCGAGACACGGGAGCTTTTCCTCTATGACTTGGCCACGTTTCAATTACAACAGACAATCATCACGGCGTCTCCTGCTATGGCTCTCGGACCACGATGGCTGGCATATCCAGGATTCGCACAGAGCAGTGATACAACGCAGTCTAATGGAAGAGAACAGACCTTGACAGGTCAAGGAGACAGCGACTCGGACTTCGACGACGTTCCTATTGAAGCTCTTGTTAGCGGTGGCATGGCTGTGGAGGCTCGTGACGCGTCCCACAGCTCTTCTCCGTCCTACACGGCCATCGACGTGGCTCAGAATGTGGCTTCAGGACTGTATTACTTGTCAGAATTCAGCCGAGCCACCATCGCGCCGTATTTGTCGTCATCTCCGGGCAAACCGACCAATGGATTACACAACCATCACACACAGACGTCAGGGACTGGACGCCGCAGCTCTGGACGGTCAAGAAACTCGTCTCTCAGTGGCTCTACAAGTAAGGAATCCCATAAACCTAGCGACGATGCAGTAGCGTCAGCGTCAAAGAAACACCCAGGGTGGGTTGTGGTGCTCGACTTGGTGACCAAGCGTGTGTTGGCGAATTTTCCGTGTCATTCCACTGCGCTGGTTAACTTGTCGATGGATTTCTCGGGACTGCTATTGGCGACGAGCTCTACCAAGGGACAAAACCTCCATGTGTACAGATTATCGCCGCCGTTGCAAAGTGTAGTAAACAAGCCTGGCGGATCATCAACCGGAACACTTCACCATCAGTTGGTGTACAAGTTACAGCGAGGAATTACCCACGCCAGTATCCAGGACATCGCCTTTAGTCAAGATGGCAAATGGATCAATGTCACGTCAGCTCACGGCACAAGTCATCTATACGCGTTGCATCCGGAAGGAGCGCGTATTAGTGCAGACACACATGCTAACACGGTGGAGAGTGCTGAATCCAACGCTGACGGTTTGGGGTCAGGCTTCCCGCTACGCCAAGTGAACGACTTCTATGCAGACTTCCGTGCACTCGAGACGCGGACGCAGACTCAAGTGCTTCGGATCCGTCATGAGCTCAAGATTCCCACCGTCTCAACTGTGGCTCCCCACAAGGCAACTACCCCAACTCCCGCCAAAGCGCGGACAACCCGCTCGTCGTCAACATCATCTTCCTCGTCTATGTCGTCCACGTCTTCATCTTCGTCTCCTACGGGCCCAGCATTCCACAGTCCGCCTGCGACCGGGAGCATGCGCAGCAGTACCATCATGGAATCAGCTCTGGATGCGTCGCAGGCTCTGCTCTCTCACCTCGCCACATCCGCCATAGACTTCAGCCATCAGCACTTCGAAAATGACACGGATGTGGCCTCCCGTCGTCGTCGATTACGGCAGCGGTTGTGCTGTCTATTTGCACCTGATGGACTCAAGATGCTGACCTGTTGCGACTCCGTTCTCAAGTTGTACGACATGCGTGTGACTGCGCTGTCCCAGCACAAAGCTGACCACGCTCGTGCCACGTCGTCTGACCCGAAAACGAAGAACTCCAAGTCGTCGCTGTCGTCGTTTGGCTTTGAAGCGAGCGTCACGGAGTTGAAGTCGTGGGAACTGCTCGCTTCGGGTCGGCGAAAGTCGGAATCGCTTTCATCTGCTATTGAGGATCACGCAGGCTTGAACAACAGCAGCCTCAGTGGAGATTCAAGTGCGAAGAGGGAGCTGAGAACGTTTGCTCAACGATCTTTGCCGCTGTGGGCCCATCCGAAGGTGACGTTCAAAGCGATAGACGAGGACCACCCGGATGGCCAAGTTCTTGAAGTCAAGCGTAAGGGTCCGAACCCAAGTCAAGATCTCAGTGCCAGTACCATGGCGATGGCCCCTGAAGGTTATGCTAATGGCGACGAGCAACTGTTTGTGATGGAGATGGATTCGTACTTTGGTATTGGCGGTTCTCCTGTCTTTGATGGCCACGGAGACGGTCGTCCCACTACACCAGAGGTGCCGCCTCCACTAGATCTGGCTGCAAGTATCAATATGGCCATGTCATCTTCGCTGTCTGAGACTCCACCCAAGCCCATACCCGAGGTGAAGAACACGATTTGCTTCAGACCAGTTGATCAGAATGCACCCCCTCACGTCAATGGATCGACGCAGAAGATGAAGAAGAAAAAAGCGAAGAACCGTCGAGTGCTCACACCTCCGTCGTCGGAGATCGAAGAAGGAAGCTCCTCGGGTGGACTGGCGTCGCTGCAGTTCACGATGCAAGACATGTACTTCGCAGTACCGAGCGAAGACACCAGCAGTTGAATACACATGAACGCTGACCTCCCCACCAATTTACACTCAGAAGATCAACAAACACCCTCAAGGGTAGGCCAGAAAATGAATTATACACTCTCTACAAAAGCCAAAAGAGGTCAACAAGAAGCAACAGAACAAAAGGCTATCAATGACAAGTACATTAGAAACTGGTATACTTACTTGTCTGCAGGTGGCAGCTCTAAACCGTTATCCTTTGGCTGCAGCATGAGCTCCACGATCTGCTCCACTTGCTTCCTCAACTCCAGCGTGACTTCTTCTCGTGTCTGGCCCACACGACCAGCAAGTTCGACGTAGTACTTCAGCTTGGGCTCGGTGCCGCTTGTACGTAGCGTAGCAACACATCCGTTGGCGAAAGTGTAGGTGATCATTTCGGTCGAACTGCTGACAGGAAGCACAGCGCGTTTGTCTGTCTGGGAGCTGTCGTAGCCTGTGGTGAGGTCACGCACATGAGTAATCGCAAAGTCGCCACAGCTCTCCCAGTACTTCCCGTTGTTGCGCAGACGCTCGAAGATAGCGCGAATCTTGACGGGGTCGTAGCATTTTACGTAGTGATTTTGCGTCACAAAGTGGCCGTAGCGTTCGTATAGAACGTTGAGGTGTTGGCCCACCGTCATCTTCTTCGTGGCTTCGAGCTGGACAGCCATCTCGGCGAACACAGCGGCAGCGACTACCCCGTCCTTGTCCTTCACTAGATCCCCAACGCAGAATCCGATGGCCTCCTCGAACGAGAACAACACAGTCTTGCCAGCATCACGCAGCTCGGCGGTCTTGTTGCCCATCCACTTGAAACCCGTCAAAGTTTCCTCAAAGTTCAGTCCTTCGGTGTTCGCGACAGCTCGCAGCATCTTGGACGACACCGTCGACGCAATAAAGTACAGCTGCTTGCGGTCACAGTTCGGGTTTAAGCGTAGATACTGCTCAAGCTCCCAATAGCCCAACAGGACGCCGATCTCGTTGCCCGTGAAGATCCGCCAGCCAGATTTCGAGCTCGGATCGCGTTCGGCCACTGCTAAGCGATCAGCATCGGGGTCGTTGGCCAGGATCAGTCTCGCTCCGTTGGCTTCAGCTGTCTCCATGGCGAGCTGCAGTGCTCCCTTCCCCTCTTCCGGGTTGGGGAAAGCCACAGTGGGGAACTCAGGGTCAGGCAGAAGCTGGGCCTGCACGGGAACGTATTCCTTGTGACCGAACGCTGCGAAGGAGCGGCTCGTGAACGCGTGGCCAACACCGTGCATGGCTGTATAGGCGATCTTAAGCGGCGTGTTGGCGTTGGCCTCCGGAAAGCGGCACAGACTTGCTCGGGCCCGCTCGAAGTAGCGCGCAGTGAGCTCCTCTCTGGGGTTCTCGATGAGAGCAGGGAAGGCCTTCTTGAGGTCCTCGAGCGAGTCGTCGTACAGTCTCCACGGGGCCAGATTGGTCATGATCTCGCTGGCGATACCTTCGTCGTGCGGTGGGATGATCTGACTGCCATTACTCCAGTAAACCTTGTAGCCGTTGTCGGCCTTGGGGTTGTGCGAGGCTGTGACCATCACGCCGGCCGCGCAGCCCTTCTGCTCGATGCAGAACGGCACCAGCGGCGTGGCCACGAAGCCCTCGTAGAGATACACCTTGAAGCCGTAATGCAGACACACGGCGGCTGTGAGCTCCGCAAAGCGTTTGGAGCTGAGTGTTTCATGCTGGCGATGGTCGTAGCCTAGTGCCACACCCATACTCTTGGCCCGGTCGCCAAACTGCTGCGTCAGATACTTGCAAATGCCCTGCGACGCCTGGATCACCACCAGGTCGTTCATGGCCGCGGGACCAGGTCCCATCACGGCGCGCAGGCCGGCGGTCCCGAAGGCTACGCGACTGCCGAACAGCTCGCGGATGCGGGCCACGTCCTTGGCCGCCACGAGCTGCTCCACCTGCGCTTTGGTGCCGGCGTTCACGTCCCATTCTGCCCACTGCTGGGCCTCAGCCAGCCACTGCTCGTCCGTGTGTGTGCTCATTATTCTGCTTGTCAGCAAATGGTAAAGTGATCCCAATTCTTGTGATCCCGATTCTTGGGTTAGCATTCACGTGGATGCCGGACCGTTTTTTATACTTGACGTTTGTAAAGAAATGGCACATGTCACATGCAACAGCCACTCTACAACTTAGCGGTGCACTGTTTTGGTTTGGGTAATTTGTGTTGGGTAAAGTTAAAGAGTCTCTGCACTTCAACTTTGCATGCTTGATTCAACGTTGCCGTCAAGAGCATACAACGTTGCCGTCAAGAGCATACTGCATGCAGGCATTTAGTATTGGTACAGACGGGAGCTGTACATGCACTACACTGTAGCGCCCGTGGTACAAGGAATCCCACCAACTGTAGCAGTGAGTTGCTAAGTAGTAACTCAAATTTGTCCGGTACAGCAAAGACTGCTGCCGCATCCAATGTGTTTGCCTACATCGGTAACCTATGATAGGGCTAATGCTATCTTGTTGACAGTAGAAATGATTCCGCGGTCACTTGAGTGTCACCACGCACATACAGCAAAATGTTACCCGGACCAGTGTTCAATGCACGGGTAGTTCCGTCCTCTTGCCGTATCTTGACTTTTTGTTGCCACCATTATTCCTACATGGCGTGACTTCCGAGTATCCTGAACACAAAATAGAAGAATCCACATTATTGTCTTTGTCAGAATAAAGCACGATAAAGATTCAAGCGCTAATGTATTGCATACGTGTGAGTTTTTTTTACTGCGTCGAAGTACAATTAAGGTGGAAACGATACTCCTGCGTTCGGAAGAACCCAAACCAGCTCAAATCGGTCATCTACGAGGATAACTCACCCGTGACCGCCTTACTCAGCCAGTCGAGACCTTCGTATATCCCCTCCCCGGTGGTTGCAATACATGCCTGCACGTGAGTAGGGTTCCTGGTCGCTTCCGACAGCTCCATTCTCTCTCGGAGCTCCTCCGCCGACAGGGCATCGGGGTGGTCCTGCTTGTTGGCGTACACGAGCAGCTTGGTATCAGCAAGTTCTTCCGCCTCAAAGATCAGATGCAGCGCCTGTTTGGCCTCGTCAATGCGCTCGATGTCGGCCGCATCCACGACGAAGATGACGGCGTCGTTGTTGCATAGGTAGTGTTTCCACAGACAGCGGATCTTCTCCTGACCTCCGATGTCCCAGGCCGTGAACTTGATGTTCTTGTATTCGAATGTCTCGACGTTGAAGCCAATAGTGGGGATAGTAACCACCATTTCCCCCAGTTTGATCTTGTAGAGCAGCGTGGTCTTGCCAGCGCAATCCAAACCGATGATCATGATGCGGCTCTCGCGGTTGCCGAAGTACGAGGCCAAGCTGCCGTAGAGCGCTTCGAGTGAGAACGAGAAGAGGTTGCCCATGGTTGAGAGATAGTGGAGCAGGCGGTTGATGGTGGATTGGAAAGTGGCAAGCAACGAAGGCAAAAGATTATGGGAAGATACAGCTTTTTGAAGCCACGCCCCAAAGAAGAGTGATGGTCGTGGAAGTTGCTGCTGTCTTGACATGGGTGGCTGTGATTGGAGGAATAGAATATGGACCAATCATAGGCCGTGGAAAAAGGAAAGTTTCACTTCAACGTGTGAAAAGTCTCTGCTGGAAGTGGTAGAGAGCGGTTTTCAGTCGGTAGACAAAGCTGAGCCAGACGGGTGGGTATATCATTGGAGCTCGTGGTCAACCTCGGAAGCCTGAACAACTCTTCCTAGTTCGTCAGTCCCATAACGGGCCGCCAGTGGAGTGTGGCAACATGATTCCAGGTCTGGAACCTGACGATCCTGCTAGATGGCGTGGAAGTTTCAGAGTTGCGGGTGAGAAGTCCAAATCTTCTACCACCACCAGAGAATGCTGCTCTTCAAGCGGTGCAGTATTGATCGTCCATGCAATTCTTCATCATGCGAGTTATGGGAATGTGTTCGGGTGCAGTGTTTCCTTAGTTGATACGCCTAATGGGGGCCAGTGATCATTGTGAAGAGTGTTTTACATGTTGAATTCGCATCAGCTCGTGCGAATACACAAACGTCGACGCAAACACCACGCGAGAAACCCGTAACCTGATTAGAATGCGCGCTAGAATATTGAGAGCCGTCATCTTGGCGCCAAAGTCGAGCAGATACCAACTCGATCAGTTATGCTTGAGGAGGCGCAAACGGCGTTGAATTGACGGGTAAGTTTGGAAATAAAGCCGAGATGTGACGAGGTATATTGCATTTCACTGCTCCACCCTGGAGCTGCTGGCTCATGGATCACTCGCCTACCAATAGCTACACCATGAGCTCTTGATTCTGAACAGTCAAAGCGTGAGCATCAAGTAACACTAGTGTCACGAAGCAGCAATAACCCATTCCGACGCACTTCCGCCAGCGCTGACTAAATTCTCGCTGTAAGCGATGCGATCACGACACTGAAGCCAGTCGAGAGAATAAAACGCGGAAACACCGAGGCCACGTGATCAAAGCAGCACAGTCAGGACAAGCTCCAAACTATTTGAATTCTGTGCAAACCCCATCGTCGTCATTAAATTACAAGATGGTTCTCCATCGTCAGTGGGCGGCGGCGATTCCATTCTGCTGCTGCTTTTTGCGCTTTAGCTGCAGTTTACGCTTTAAGTTTTTAGCCTTCTTCTTGGCTGCTTCTTCGCGCAACTTGTCCAACAGCTCGTCCTGTGCTGTACGCTTTCGTTTCCTGTCGTCCTTGCCGCTCTGCGTCTTGAGGCGTACGAGTTCCTGCTCTTCCTCATCCTGTGCCTCCTCGCGCTGTTGTTGCGCCTCTTTCTCCGCCTTTGCCGCCTCCTCTGCGCGACTGCCCCGTGGTTTGCGCAACAACTTGCGCTTCATCTCGCGCTCCTGATCTGTAAGTGCCGCATCTGCATTGGCATTCGCGGCGTTGGGTCGCGTAAGACTCGGTAGACTCTTTCCAGAGGAAGCGGAAGACGGCCGGTAGAGCGTCACAGGGCGGCGCTGCGTCTGCTGCTCCAGTTGTTGCTGCTCCTCCTCCTGTACATCGTCACCGTCACCTCCCAGTAACCAGGACCCCACCACGTTCAGCGCATTCGCCTGAAATGCCACGCCCTCGTCGTCGCTGTTGCCCATGGTCAAAAATGTTGTGTCGCTTAATGGTAGTCAGGTAAACTACCATTCGACAAAAGCCGTACCAAATGAACTAATAGGCTACATGCGGACAAGTTTAGAATGGATACAGTATAGCAATCAAGAACCGACCAATCATATTAGCGTAACAATATCCATTTCATCCAATCGCTCTCCTCCGTCAGCGGTACCGTTGGTTGGTTGGGCGTGTCTGCTGTTGCCGCCATTCCATCGACGCCATCACTCTTTGATCTCCTCTCCAGCAAGTCAAAGCACTCCAAACACCAGTCACCATGGGTCGCATGCACTCTCACGGCAAGGGTATGAGCAAGTCTGCTCGCCCGTACAAGCGCTCGCCGCCTTCGTGGCTCAAGGTCTCGGCCGAGGACGTGGAGGACCACATCTGCAAGTTCGCCAAGAAGGGTCTGACCCCGTCGCAGATCGGCGTCATCCTGCGTGACTCGCACGGCATCGCTCAGGTCAAGAGCGTCACGGGCTCCAAGGTGCTGCGTGTTCTCAAGAAGAACGGTGCGTTCTGAATTGTATTGATCTTCTATAATAAGCGATAGACTGACGTGTCTCCTGTAAATTTCTGTGTGCCTCCTACGGACGTGCTCGGTATCACCTGACGTACGGATCCGATGGCGCTTTGCCTCTCCGTTTGACGTGGGGGTACGCGGGTTTACTATTGATCTCTAATCAGGCCTCGCCCCTGAGCTGCCGGAGGACCTGTACATGCTCATCAAGAAGGCTGTGGCTGTCCGCAAGCACCTTGAGCGCAACCGTCAGGACAAGGACTCCAAGTTCCGTCTCATTCTGATCGAGTCGCGTATCCACCGTCTTGCTCGTTACTACCGTAAGAACCGCAAGCTCTCGCCTAACTGGAAGTACGAGTCGTCCACGGCCTCGACGCTGGTGGCTTAAGCTTCCTATGCAGCTTCTTGCTAGCGTAACGGCAATGCAAAGTGTCCAATTGCTGGGTTGATCATCCTCTACTCTCCTTCTCTTCCTTCATCTTGAGTCTTTGGCGTCCATTCTCCACCATTTCCTCTCTTGTCGCCTTTGTCTCACTACAGCACTCGCTCTCCAAGTGGCCAGTCAACAAATTAGCGAGAACTGTGGTGCCGCAGTCTTCCCACGGACACTTGACGAGTCTATTAGCGCACTCTTGGTGGCAGTGCAGCGTCATAAATCGCCTCTGGATCCTCTCAGAGCAGTTCAAGACGCACTCGACCAGTTCGCGTCTCTCGTGGTAGCGACGTACCAGTTCATCTCGCAGTAAGTGACGCTCGCACTTGGTCCGCAGGTGCTCAGCCTCATTGCTGAAGCGATACGAGGCCTCACAGCCAACCTCCTTACACACAACCAAGCGATGTACGCACTCGACACGATGATGCCGCTCCAGATCCCGATACGCGACGGCCTGTTCGCAGTGCTGACGACACGGCACCACGTCCAGCTCCCGGTCGCGTGCGCGTTGAGCCAGCAGCTTCAACTTCTGGTTCACTAAGCAGCACGTTTGGTCTCGCAGTGACGGCGTGGGTGGAATGCCGAAGCGTTTACGAACCTCCGGAGTGTCGTAAATGACCCAGTTTGTATCAAAACAAGAGGAACGAGGCAGCTTCAACGCCATGTCGTCCACTAGGTCGCCCATTCCTTCCTCAAACGTCCAATAGCCCACGAGAGACTTACACTTAGCCACATGTAGAATAGACGCACCGTTCTGTTGAATCTGCTGGATACTACGACACTCGTTCCAGTAGCGGATCTCTTGGATAAAACCCTGGAATGACTCGGTCTTCTCTTTGGTGCCGATACTGCTCATAGGCAGGTCGAATACGCCGCTGCGGGTGGCTTTGAGTTCGCCATTAAGGAAGAGACTGAGCTCTTTCGAACCAGCAGAGAACACGACGTGGTTCCAGCGATTCCGTTCCATTCGAACTTGGAAATTCACTTCTCTTGCTGCTTTTCCCGATAGACGATAGAAAACTATCTCGCCTTTAGGTCCAGATACGAAAGAGATGACATTCTTCACACTCGACGCGATGATGTGGCGGCCGCAGCGCTCTAGAAGTTGAGTCGGTTTGCTGTCCGATATGAGCGACAACTTGGCGTCCACTTTGGAGATCTCACGTTCGTATCTGCGTTGCAGTCTCTGAGACTCTGGATCTTCAGGATCTAAAGCCTCCAATTGTGATTGAAACTCACTGCGTTTCTTAAGTAGGTTATTCTGCTCTGCAACTTTGCGCTGACGCTCAGCTTTGTCTTCTTTGGTTGGGATTTTGGATGTAAACTGCTTGGCCCACGCTTCCAAGTCACTTAGCAAAGATCGATGAGATTCTGGTAATAATTGCACTAGCAGCATCCTCTCGTTCAAGAACTGAGCAGTTTGGTCGACAATCGCAGTGAGGAGTGTTTGTTTTGCGTCCTCGTCAGCCACATCCGTGTCCAAAATGCGCTTAGCCTCGACGATGTAGACCTCGATCCAGCCTTGAGCCAACGCGATCTCCTTTCGAGTCTCTACCAATCCGTTCTCTGCATTATTGAAATCTTCCGCCAGTTCTTTTGCTGCGATTGCCATTTCCTCACCAGACAGATGCGTTCCTTGTGTTTTATCAGTGTTTTTACGCTTGCGTTTTTGCTTTAACTCCTTCAATTTCTTCTTGCAATTGTCGGATTTAGTTTGCCGCTGAGCGTTTTCCCGTGTGTGAACAGCAACAATTTCCATTAACTCCAAGCTGCTTTTATGCAATGACAGGATTTCTTCATCTGCGTCGACCATCCAAACGTAAAATTCGGCAGTCCACGGGGGTGGTAGATCAACAGACGTTTGATTCGTACTGTTGATTGAGATGTACGCGTTTCCTCCAGTGCTGAACTGAAGCATGCTGCGGTCTTTTGACAATGACAGAAAGTCTTCATGCAAGTGTCGATCTCGCCATCGAAGACGCGCTTTGCAGCCATGAGCAGCATTCTTACACGGAACGACACGGCTGACACATTCATCTTTAAAGTGTCGAGTGAGATGCCGCAACCGAACTATTTCTCCACACTCTGGACACGTCACGGGTGAGTTTTTTTCACGTGCTCTTGCTGCCAGATTTTTCCGTTCTATCGTCACGATGCAGGAGGTACGAATGTGCTCGTCAAATTTCCCAACAGGGACCCACTCTTTGCATCCATTGACGGAGTTTGGACACGGACGCTCGCGTTCAGAACATTCGTCTTCCTGGTGGTCGAGTAATTTACGTTTCTTCACTTTTTGCTGGCACCAATCACATAAAATTTCCTCGTTCACAAGTTGCGCGTCGGCAGCGATTTTCCTCCTTCGTTCAGCCACGACACATTGAGTTGCTTCATGAACTTCTTGCTCATGTTGTGGGAATTTCATCTCGCAGCCCCATTCACTATAACGACAAGCCACTTGCCGCTTCACACACATGTACAGTTGATGGCTCTTCAGATTGCGCTTCCTGATAATGAAACGAGTTTCATGACACAATTCGCACTCAACAGGAGTATCTCCATCGTCTCGATCTCGAAGAAGTTGGCGAGTGTGTCGAGTGAATCTGCAGTCACGTTGCTCGTGCAGCTCACGGTCTTTAGCCTGAAACAGTTGAGTACAACCTGGTCGAATGCAGCGGATCATTCGATGGGGACACTCATGCTGTAAGTGGAATCTCTCGTCTGCAGGTCGGATCTCCTCGCTGCAGTCGCACAAGACGAGGTCTGTAGAACCTACTCGCTGACGTGGTTAGCTAAGTTAAACTACCGTTCGCTTGCCGTACTTACTGTTGTTGGTTGATGGCTTCTTTTGCTTCGTTTCCAGAGGCTCCAGACGCACAGAAGGATGACTAGCACTTTTACTCAGCAGTTTCTTACGTTGTACATTCACTTGCTCCAGCGCTCTTGCAAGTTCTAGGCTGTTCATACAATCACTCAGCGTTCGTTGAATAAATCATAAAGACAGGATACCTACATGTCTGCTTGTAGAGCTTGTGTGGTTTGCGAACTGGAAGCGGGAACATGAGATGAAACTAGGGTCGGAATCCGCGCAGGCACGAACTCGACTCTTCTTTCAACGTCAGTGGACATTTGGTGCTTTGAGTCTATCGTATCTACTGCACACGACGTCGCACTCGACTCGCTAACCATAATTCACGATCAAATAGCACCACGTGAGAACCGTCAAACTATTTTTTCTCCGACTATCTGTAGTGGCATCAAGGCTTAGTCTCTATTAGAGGTACAGCGACACATCAGGGCCTCGCCCGAAGAGCTGGTTCCACGAAGGTGGGAACGCGAATGGAAGCATCTGCGGCATTGAGCTAGGCATCGCAACGGGGTCAGGAGTCTGCTTGGGTGTGATACGCAGAGAGCGGAAAAGCTGCGTCGTCATGGCAGCAGCGTCCGGCACGTTGTTGCCCTCAGCACACGGCATGACCCAAGCGATGAACGGCAACTTCTGCTCATCGCACTCCGCATGCAGCAGTGGGGCAAGACCGGCACCGCGGATCGGCTTCCACTGATCAGCAGATGAGGAAGCAGAAGTCTCGGTCGCTTCTTGGCCACCTTCAGTATTGGTTGTCAGCCCCTCGAAACGAGTCAAGAATGCTTCATCCAGTTGCGTAGCGTCAGCCGAGTAAATCGTGCGAATGGGGCGACTGCATGAACCAATACATGAAAGTTAGCAGCAGTCTTTGCAAGCATAAAATACTGCTTTGTGCCGAACCTCATCATGTTGGGATCGTGGCGCAGCATGTCATCACACCCGGCTACTACACCAAGCGTCGCCACCTTACTCTTAATCGCCCACTCCACCAACTCTTGAGAGAACGCATGAGCTCGTCCCTACAGCAATCAAAAGCACAAGTCTGTCAGGATATAGATCTCATGTGGATTTAAGGTAAAGATCCCAGTTCAATTTTCATACCGGCAGCACGGGAGCTCGTTGCTGGATAATTGTGAGCTTCCTCGCCTTGCTCTGATACACTGTAGCAATAGCAGTACACAATGACGTTAGTCCACTCTCCAATCATTGAACTCAGGACAGCAACGCACCCTCCAGATTGAGACACAGAGTATTCGGCTGTTGTGTAGCGAAGGCAGCACCACCGGCAATGGGAGGAGCCGCCTCGCTGAGCAGGTGGCCAACGCGTGTGAGCTCCACGTCCTGATTTGGAATAAGAGCCAAAAAGTTTGATTAGGTATAAGGCTTCTTACGGGCGCCTGAAGGACGCTCGAGCGAAGATGAAGAGCATGTTGCACGTACAAAAGCTCCACCATTCTGTAGCAGCGTGTTGATCATCAGGTCCAGCGTCAATTGGCCCAGGTTCGCGTTAGAGACCGCTGGCTGAAGCAGTAATGATACATGACTTTGTCAGTAGATTGCGACGCAGACACTTGAAAGATCGAAGCCAAACTTGAATGAGCAGGTGGGGAAGTGTGTACGGAGATAATATCGTACCAGAAGCACCGTGTGGCCCGCGAAAAGCGACGTGCAAGCGGCGGCGTCAGCGGCGCTGGCTGCATCTTGAGAATAGAACTCCATCACGAATGTTGCAATGCAAGGTATCGAATCGAATCGTCCAATCAAAACAAGTCATTTTAGTCAAATACTGTACTAAATTTAACAATATTTAACTGAAAAACTTTTATTTTAAACGAAAGCACTTTTTGCCTCATTTGAATAAGTCTAAATTGAAAAAGTGCTTTATTACCCAATAATATGCAATAATGAACTATTTTTGCTTTCAATTATTTTAAAATACCTACTGCTCAGAACTAGTATTGTGCCTTTCCAACCAATCTGACCTTTAAAGGCTGGTCCTAAGCAAGGGTGGGTAGGGCTAAGGGTGGGATTTGAGGACGAACTGGAGTTGAATTGCTAAGCCAGGCCACTAAATAAA